TTTTTCACATCACAGTAAAACAAGTTTTAAATATTTTATGAGTCTGAAGAGAATCTTGCTGAGCCAGCCAGTTAGTTAAATGTTCATTTATAGTAATTTACCTGATTAATAGCAGTTAAGGGTGATTCTGTCGCCCCCTTGAGGACTAAAGCTTGTTACTGTCACAGTAACACAAAAAAATGAAGGATGGACAGCATTCACTTCTGTAGAACGTTTCTGACTTTAAGTCAGTCTTACAAATGCCAGAATGTCATTGCATTAATAATAAAACATGAAAGCAAGAGGCATTTGCCAAAAAAAAAAAGATTTCCTCAAAAATAACTTCACTTTTCTTAGCCATTTATACAATTACTTTTAATCAACTTTTGTCAAATGACCACATTTAACATTTTTGTTGTCCCTTTATATAAATAAATGTACATCATAAGGCAGCAAGACTAAAAATGCCATGCTCGCTGTGTAAGTGTTTGATTGTGTTGTGTTTGCATGTTGAAACAGTGTGCCGTTACAGGCGACTGATCGTCAGATAAGGCCATAGTTGCGTAAATTCAGGAATGTTTTACACACACTGAGAGTTTATTCTCATTTTTCTGGCCACACTTTCTGCATGGCCTGATATCACACCATCATATTACCCATAACCCTCAGCTCAACTGGAAACCACTCTCAGTCTCTTCGTAGCCTTTGATCAGAGATCAGTATTGTTGGATTTTGATTCAGCCATAATCAAGCATTTTGCAATTTGTATTTGCTGTGTGTGTGTGTGTGTGTGTGTGTGAGAGTCAGATTCAGTCATTAACTGGATTATTTTTGTGAAGTGTGAACCTGCATGAATGAAGGAATCCCAACATTTGACTCATTCTCATACTGAGACGCTGTTTGAGTCACATCCTCATAATGTAAACCCGAGAACAGCCATGAGCGTCTGTCTCATTGCCTAAACACACAGGGCAAACATATTGCTCAGACGCGCTCTTTCATAGTTTGCAATTAAGTTTTCAGTCACGTTTCATATATTTTCTGTAACCCTTCTCCTAGTATTTATATAAATCAAAATAAACACAAATAAAACATAAGAATATGCATTCATAAATAGTTTTTTTTTCAACTGCTTACACACTAAATCTTTATTTGTCACACAGTTTATGAAAGCTGACAGTCAAACAGCAGAAGCACACACCAAATCTGCAAAACCATATGCTGGTTCTCAGCCTTCCCTTACCAAAAAGTAGTATACTTCAAGTTTATTTTATTAAGTATACTTAAGTAAAGTTCAAGTATATTTTTAAGTATACTTTATGTAGTAAGTATACAAATATCAGTGTACTAGTAGTATACTTGTAAGTGTACTATTTCAATACTTATTGGGACTAAATTGGCCCACCTTCTAGTATATAAAAGTATACGTTTAAGTATAACAGTAGTAAACTTTGAGTACACAACTAGTTTACATCAATATTTTTAGCTTGTACTGCAACTATACTAAAAGTGAACTTATGAGTTTACTAATGAAATACTTGTAGTAGCATTTTTAGTACACTTTGAAGTATAGTCTCAGTAAACTACTAGTTTAGTAGTTTTATACTGCAAGTAAGCTAGGAGGTAAGGTTTTAAATAAATGTGTGCATATGATATATCCAAAAATATAATATTATAAAAATATAATATTATGGCAAAGGTGTTTGCAATGCAAATGTTTGTGATGTGTGATATTTTGAATGCAGTGCATTGCAAGAGATGTGAGGCATTTTGTATTTTGTGTGTGCAATTCTTGGATTTGTTTGTGAAGTTTTGAAAATGTGTGTAAGCAGTTGAAAAAAAAACTGTAATAAGAAAAGCTCAGATCATGGAAGTATCTATTCTGAGCACAGTTTGAGACAGATCTTATTTGAAACTCTAGAGGAGACACATGAGATGTCCTTTTCTCAGGAGAAATGTCTGAGAAGAGTGTCCATCTCAGCTAGTCTTTGTTTGATTTCAATGCTCTCAAGGAAAAAACGATTAAGACATTGATGAGATCCCATGTGTGCTTTAGCTTTTCTTTCGAGTCTCGTACCGGCAGGGATTGTAGGTGGGGGGAGTGAATGTACAGCGCTAGATCTGGCATCTCTCAAATCATCTCGGCCTCCCCCGGGTCCTAAAGCCCGCTCCGTAAGGAGTTTTAATTCCGTAGGGGGCGCTGTTGGCCGGTCAGAAGCTATAGCTTACATAAAAAAAATTCACAAACCTGACACTTAAATTAAATAATTTTGTATATACTAATTTATTAAAGCAATAAGCCCCAAGAAGCCATGGTTTACAGTGAATTTATAACAGCTAAGGGGCACGACGCGAAGCACAAAACACGGCTTCACGGGTCTTATTGCTTTTATAAAACAGTTATTCCATAAGGTTTCACAAAATAAAACAGAGCAAGTGTAATGATATAAATAAAAACAGTATTCTTCCACCAAACAATGTAGTTCCTCAGAATCAGTTGTGGTTGCAACAAAGTGGTTGCCGAGCAACACACAGAAGTAAACAAAGGTGTATGTTTGTAGAGTAATTTACAACAGCTTCGAACGCGGCTCAACCAATCAGAATCAAGGACCGGAACTATCCGTTTTATAATCATTAATGTGTAATATGTTATATTTTAAACAAATTATGAGCTCTAAAGGATTTTCAGAATTTTGATAAGTCTTTTGCTTTAGACCATTTACAAATGTTAAATCATAAAATAAAATGTTAAGGTTACCACTGCATCTTTCTGGGGGAAAAAATGCCGGGATTAATATATAGTTTATTTATAGTTATTTTCAAAGCTTCACAGTATTTTATACTGTTGTTATAAAATAACTTTATTATTGTTTATTTAATTCTAAAAAAAAGTTATTGTTAAAAACTAACCAAAATATAAAATAATTATATATCGGCATCGGCTAAATTATCGGATATCGGCAAAAATCCAATATGGCTGACAGTATCAAAGGTTTCACGTTCCCTCACAAATGTGCACCGGACACGTTCAGATCTGTTCCTGCTGTTCGTCACTCGGACTGCATGTCTTGTGTTTGTGTGACTGGCATGAGGTTGTTGACGTGTGCTTTCTGTCATGTGTGTAGCTGTGAAGATCAAGAAGCCCATCAAGACTAAGTTCCGCATGCCGGTGTTTAACTGGGTGGCGCTGAAGCCCAATCAGATCAACGGCACTGTGTTCAACGAGATCGATGACGAAAGAATACTGGAGGTGAGACAGACACGGTTTTGAAAACATTGAAACAAGTTTGGAGACTTGGTCAAAACATTTGTTTTTGTGATACACAGTATATGATGCATTAAAGTGCATTCGTTTCATAATTCATGCGTAATATGTTGCTGTGTAATACATGATCATGTTCAACTCCCAGTTTTGTTTTATATGCTGTAATTTATGATATTCTTTACAGGATTAACTCTGAATCGGTTATTCTTATAATGTATTACATCAGAGGATATAATTATGATGCATTACAATGTGTACTCTGATGCATAAATGCATCCTTTTAAGGCACTACCATTCAAATGTTTTTTGTTTGATCAAATATTCATAAAATTTATCAAAAGTGACATTGTTGCAAAATACATTTTAAATAAATGTTCTTTTGAACTTCCTATTCATCAAATAATCCTAAAAAAATGTATCACAGTTTCTACAAAATATTAAGCAGTCCAACCATTTCTACATTGGTGTCAATAGAAATGTTGATTGAGCACCTAATCAGCATATTCAAATGATTTGTTAAGGATCATGTGACACTGAAGACTGAAGTAATGATGCTGAAAATTCGGTTTTGCATCACAGAAATGCATGACATTTAAGTTATTATTTAAATAATTTTATTTAAATACAGATTATAATAATGTTCCACCATATTATTCTTGTTGTTTTTTACTCCATTTTTGATCGAATAGATGCAGCCTCAGAATAATTAAAAAACATTTAAAAATCTTACAGACCCAAAACATTTTTGTATATAATACAGATATTTACATGGGTGTTGAATGACCCAATGTGAGGAGATTGTGTATATTTGGCCCTGACTGTATTAAATCCAGTTTGTTTTTCTTTATATGCTGAATTGTTGGCTTGTTCTTTAGCTCCGTGTTGATTTGCTAGGATTCCAGGCTGGCTGTTATTTTATAGATCAGTGAGTTTCATGGTGAATAGTGACTGTGGTTTGTCTTTTCAGGATCTGAATGTGGATGATTTTGAGGAGATGTTTAAGACGAAAGCACAGGGGCCTGCCGTAGACATCACCTCCAGCAAACAGAAGACCTCTCAGAAAGGACCAACTAAAGTCTCGCTGCTGGACTCCAACAGAGCCAAAAACCTGGCCATCACGCTCAGAAAAGTGGGCAAGACATCAGAGGAGATCTGCAGAGCCATTCAAATGTAATTCACAGCCGACATACTAGAGTATATACAGCAGAAAAGATCACCAACATCCCTAGAAATAGTTTAAAATATTTCTTAATTTGTAATTTCTTTTTTAATGATTAACCATGAAATTTGGCTCCAAACGGGACTGAAAACTGCAGCTATGTGAACATAGAGAAGGTCGTCAGATTGATGAGGATAATGCTTTGATCTCTGTCTGTGTGTCTGTGTGTGTGTGTCTGTGTGTCTGTGTGTGTGTGTGTGTGTGTGCATGCGTGTGTCTGTCTGTGTGTGTGTGTGTCTGTGTGTGTGTGTGTGTGTGCATGCGTCTGTGTGTCTGTGTGTGTGTGTGTGTGTGCATGCGTCTGTGTGTCTGTGTGTGTGTGTGTGTGTGCATGCGTCTGTGTGTCTGTGTGTGTGTGTGTGTGTGCATGCGTCTGTGTGTCTGTGTGTGTGTGTGTGTGTGCATGCGTCTGTGTGTCTGTGTGTGTGTGTGTGTGTGCATGCGTCTGTGTGTCTGTGTGTGTGTGTGTGTGTGCATGCGTGTGTGTGTGTGTGTGTGTGTGTGCGTGCGTGCGTGTGTGTGTCTGTGTTTGTGTGCGTGCGTGCGTGCGTGTGTGTGTGTGTTTGTGTGTGTGTGCGTGCACGTGCGTGCATGTGTGTGTTTGTGTGTGTGCGTGTGTGCGTACGTGTGTGAGTGTGTACCTGGTATTTATCACATTATGGGGACCAAATGTCCCCACAAGGATAGTAATACTAGTAAATTCTGACCTTGTGGGGACATTTTTTTAGGCCATGAGGAAACAAGCTTATAAAGCTTACAAAAGTTTTTTGAAAATCTAAAAATGCAGAAGGTTTCCTGTAAGGGGTAGATTTAATAAAACATGGAAACACGTGTGTGTGTGTGTAAGGTTTGACCTGCGGACGTTGCCGGTGGATTTCGTGGAGTGTTTGATGAGGTTCATTCCAACGGAAGCGGAGCTGAAAGTTTTCCGGCAGTACGAGAAGGAGCGCAAACCTCTGGAGAACCTGACGGATGAGGATCGCTTCATGGTCCACTTCAGCAAGATCGAGCGTCTCATGCAGAAGATGACCATCATGGCGTTCGTGGGCAATTTCACAGAAAGTGTTCAGATGTTCACACCCGTAAGAGCTGACAGCACGTTTGCTCAAGAATTAAGCAGGATTTTCTAGTATTCGCTCCAAATCTTCCAGGCAAATTTAAATAACTAAGACATGCCCAAGGATCTCCTCATTTTTCCATAATACCCGTTTCTTTACCTCTCACTGTCTCTTGAATTCTTTCATAACCCTTCTTCACATGATGCTTTCCATTAATGCAATGCAAAACCATGTTTTCTTACAACTCAAAATTTGTTATAAAATAAGGTAAAAGAACCATAATCTTAAGAAAAATTTAATAATTTGTGACCCTGGAGCACAAAAGCAATAGCCAAAAATACATTGTATGTGTCAAAATTATTGATTTTTCTTTTATGCCAAAAATCATTAGGATATTAAGTAAAGATCATGGTCCATTAAGATATTTTGTAAATTTCTTACCGTAAATATATCAAAACTTAATTTGTGATTAGTAATATGCATTGCTAAGAACTTCATTTGGACAACTTTAAAGGCGATTTTCTCAATATTTAGATTTTTTTGCACCCTCAGATTCCAGATTTTCAAATAGTTGTATCTCGGCCAAATATTGTCCCATCCTAACAAACCATACATCAATGGAAAGCTTATTTATTTCATTTTGAAAAATTGACACGTAAGACTGGTTTTGTGGTCCAGGGTCACTTTTATTTAAGCTTATCTAATTATCTAAGCTTATTTAATTTACCTAAATTTATTTAATAAAATGTAGAATTTATTTAAGCTCTAGATTTAGCTAGTTTAGAACCAAATATTGGTTTGTAGTTACTGATGAGCTTACATTTGATCTTATATTACTCACAAATGAAAGATAAATACTTAAATACTACTATGTTCAGTGATGTTTCTTGTAATAACGGGTGAGCTTGACAAGTGCAGTCAACACTACAATATGTGAAAAAAAATTAAATGAGTTAAAAAATGTTTGCTTGTAGCATAATCACTTTGGATGTGTCAATTTTTGGCAACACTTTAAAATTTTTAATGTATTAACTAACAACGAGACATTTGTTACAGTACATATTCATTTTTGATAACGTTAGTGAATAAAAATACAACTGTATTTTGTTAAGGTCATGTTAGCTCAGAAACTACTTTTTATTTATTTTTTTAATTATGTATTAGTAATACTTTATAAGTGCTGAGATTAACATTAACTAAGATGAATAGAGTATTTTTCATGTAATGTTGTTAAGTGTTACTCAATTTTTTAAGCTAGCTTTAAAAGTAGCTAGTTTTAATGAAGACAAATATAATGGTCAGCTGGACCTTTGCACAGCTTCTGTTATTGCCTTTTGTTTTTGTCTCAACAGCAACTTCATGCCGTTATCGCAGCATCTGTCTCCATCAAGTCCTCACAAAAACTCAAGAAGATTCTGGAAGTAAGTGTTTCACTTCTGCTCTGATTCATTTTTCTCTGGACTGCACGCGTGTCTTTATCAAGCGTGTGTTTCTCTCTCAGATCATCTTGGCTCTGGGAAACTACATGAACAGCAGTAAAAGAGGAGCGGTGTACGGCTTCAAACTGCAGAGCTTAGACCTGGTACACTTTACGTAGCATTACATACTAAAACTCAAATATTGGCTGTTAAAGTTAATCCTTATGAATTAGGAATGCAAGCAATCCTTGTTGTTATTTATAGCATGCATAGGACATTCAAACCACCATGATAGATTTTAATAATAACATTGATTTAAATGGCTGATGAAAGTAAGTTGCACCAAATACCTCTGGAGTATTTCATCTAATCTTGTTGCATTCTTCTTCTGAAGTAAAATGACACATATGTCCTTCATTTGTGATTTAATAACTCGTGCAGTTGAGGGTTTGCATGTTTTCTTGTTCCAGTTATTAGACACTAAATCAACAGACCGCAAGATCACTCTTCTGCACTATATCGCAAACGTAGCGAAGGATAAATACCAGCAGGTGTCGCTCTTCTATAATGAGCTGAACTATGTGGAGAAAGCTGCAGCAGGTATGAAACATGGCATCCGTCAGTTTGATTATACGTGACCCTGGAGCACAAAAGCAGTCTTAAGTCGCTGGGGTATATTTGTAGCAATAGCCAACAATACATTGTATGGGTCAAAATTATAGATTTTTCTTTTATGCCAAAAATCATTAGGATATTAAGTAAAGATCATGTTCCATGAAGATATTTTGTAAATTTCCTACCGTAAATATATCAAAACTTAATTTTTGATTAGTAATATGCATTGCTAAGAACTTAATTTGGACAACTTTAAAGATGATTTTCTCAATATTTAGATTTTTTTGCACCCTCAGATTCCAGATTTTCAAATAGTTAAGACTATTTGAAGTCTTAAGACTATTAAGACTATTCTCGGCCAAATATTGTCCGATCCTAATTAACCATACATCAATGGAAAGCTTATTTATTCAGCTTTCAGATGATGTATACATCTCAATTTTAAAAAACGGACCCTTATGACTGGTTTTGTGGTCCAGGGTCACATATATACAATAAACGTCAAAGTTTGACAGAACAGATCTCAGCTAAATGACTTCTGTCTGTGTATTCTGTAGTCTCGCTGGAGAATGTCTTATTAGACGTGAAGGAGCTTCAGAGAGGCATGGATCTGACGAGGAGAGAGTACAGCATGCACGGCCACAACACACTGCTCAGAGATTTCATACAGCAACATGAGAATAAACTCAAAAAACTTCAGGATGATGCCAAGATCGCTCAGGTGCTGCGAACACATCACCCAAAACACAGCTCAATAAACCGGTTTCACTCTCAGTTAAAGGGGTCTCATCATGAGGAATCTTGCTTTCCTTTACCATTTGATAATATCATAAAATCATAAAAACATAATATAAATTTCAAAACTCAGCAGTTCCTCCCCAGTTCAAATGGAGCATATATTGAAAATAAGCTGCAAAATGGCTAAAATCTAAACTTCCACAACTTTCTTAAAGTTAATTTGAGCTTTGCTTTACCATATTTGATGAGCTCTATGTATATACAGATATGAATAAAAGCCTAAATTAAATGTGTTCATCATATTAAGCAATTATGTCTCTTCAGAATACTTGGATTAAACTGTTTGATTCATATAAAGGGGAAACTGTATCATATGACACCTGTATCATATTGTTATTAAAAATGTAAATTTGAAGAGTCAGAAATTAAACTTCACGTGATTCTGAATGCCGTTTATGTCTTTTCGTATCTCATTCTCTCAGGATGCCTTTGATGAAGTGGTGAAATTCTTTGGAGAGAACTCCAAAACAACACCCCCATCCGTGTTTTTCCCAGTGTTTGTGCGCTTTGTGAAAGCATACAGGGTAAAGCGACCAATCACCTGCTTCGCTTCATCCAATCACAGCTTTGCATCGTCTGCTGTATGAACCCTGACAGCATTGATCACTCATGTTGCACAGCTTCCAAATGCCTCACTGCTGGGTGTTTTCTCTCTGGCAGCAAGCAGAGGAGGATAATGAACAGAGGAAAAGACAGGAGCAGATTAAACCTGACAAAATCGCCAAAAAAAAACTCCATTTGGGGATGTCCTCATTTGTAAAACTGGTATAAAAGTAGAGTAAACAAAGTTTTTTTGAAATTGTAAAACTGCAGAAAGTTTTCTGTGAGGGGTAGGGGTGGGTTTAGGTTAAAAAGTGTATAAATATCTGTATATAAAAACAATAGACGTCTATGTAATGTCCCCATTTAGATAGCTAAGTAACGTGTGTGTGTGTGTGTGTGTGTGTGTGTGTGTGTGTGTGCGTGTCGGGGAAATGGGTTACTTAACTATAATTTGGGGACAAAACTAGCCTCTGAGTGTGTGCATGTACCTTCTTAACCTTATTTTTATATTTTATAGTTAAATCTGACACAATCTCTTTTTGGGGACATCCTCATTTGTAAAAACCAGGATAAAAATTGCAACAATACAGAAGGTTTTCTGTTTAGGTTAGTATCTAGAATTCATAACGAATGTCCTCTTTTAGGTGTGTGTGTGTGTGTGTGTGTGTGTATGTGTGTGTGTGTGTCTGTGTCTGTGTCTGTGTCTGTGTGTGTGTGTGTGTGTGTGTGTGTGTGTGTGTGAGTGTG